GTCAAGGATTTCCCAAATTGTGATCATTTTCAACGCAATGGTCTGGTTCACATATATATCCAAAACAGATTTTACAAGCTAGAATTGCCAGGTCAGTGCATGGTGTTCAGCAAAATGATCTGCATTACGGCTCAGTTCAGGATGTGAAGGCAGACCTTGATTGGGTTCACTGTTTCACCAAACCGTGGCTTATATACAGGTAGTCTCAACTTACAACCATAACTGGGACCAGGATTTCTGTTGCTAAGCAGGGCAGTTGTTAAGCGAGTTCCACCTTTTTTTTTTAATTGGTGCACATAAAATATAAAATTAAAGAAAAGTATATCATTATTTAGGAACATGCCGAAGACTTTGAGATGTTATCCTTCTGGCTTTCCAATACGTGCCATTTTCTTAACTGTCTGAAACAGTACAGTGGGGAAGAGGTAAGTTTAACTTCATCCTAGGTTTGTCTTCATGAATGGCTTAATACAGGGGTCCCCAACCTCTGGGCTGTGGACCAGTACCGGGCCGTGGCATGCCAGCAACCGGTCCGCACAAACAAGCAAAGCCCCATCTGCGGGATGCAGGCAGCACACACAACCACATCCCCCCACGGGTCCGCAGAAAAAACGTCTCCCCACGGAACCGGTCCCTGGTGCCCCAAAGGTTGGGGACCTCTGGCTTAATACACCATCCTAGCATTGTGCTGGTTGGCTGAAAAGAACTGCCTCCATCAGTTAAATTGTTGTGCTCACCATCCTGTGCTCAGAGCATTTTGCTAGCCAAGTGTCTTTCCCCAATAAACTGGGTGCCAAGATTTTTCAAGCTGGTACTTCAAGCATGTTTGTCTCTGCCATGGGTGATATTTCCTTCCACTTAATGAGCTGAGGAAAAGGGGTAGGACCCCATGTTCTTACAGGTTCAGGTGTTACCTCTGATCACACCACAGAAGAGTTCTCCTGCTTTTTTTGCCTCTCCAAAGAGATTTATTTTTATGTTATGATTTATTTATTTTTTGCTTCTAAAATCTAACTGAGATAGGAAATTGTCGGTATAATCAGGACAAATCAATTGTTTTCAGGGATGGGAACCATTTTAGGCCCCCTAAATTGTGGACTGGAGATTTTGCGGTACTATGTAAAGAAATTCTGGCTTTGCTTAATTTCTCCGAAGTGTAAGAAATTTAATGTTAATTTACGGTGATACCCATCCTCTCTTTTCCTCTCTTAGCTATTTCTAGGCATTCGGAAATGTCTTAGAAATAACATATTGTAATGATTGAATTGCACAATTGGTGTTCACCAAAATGCACTTAAATTTAAGAATTCTACAGAAGAACAAAACAAAAATATTTTCCAATAAAATTAAATTGAATGGCTGGCTCTCCAATGTGTTTATATTCTATTGTCCTAGAGCAGGGATCTTCAAACTTGGCCCTTTTATAACTTGTGGACTTCAACTCCCAGAATTCCTCAGCCAGGCACGCTGGCTGAGGAATTCTGGAATTCTGGAATTCTGGGAGTTGAAGTCCACAAGTCATAAAAGGGCCAAGTTTGAAGACCCCTGTCCTAGAGGCAAAAAATATGCACATGGATACTGTTGGCTAAGCTACCTTAAAAGCTCTGTACTAGTTTGATAAATGTGTAATTTGTTTGTGATCTTCATTGCCACATGTTGATAATGCTGCAATTGGCTTTCAGGAATTCATGAAGCACAACACGCCGCAACAAAATAAGAACAATCTGATCCACTTTGATCTGTCCGAATATAGGCAGGTGCTTAGTGATCTTGCCATTCGTATATATCATCAGTTTATCGGTGTAATGGAGACCAGTATTCAGCCAATGATAGGTAAGGAGTTAGATCAACATTAGCCATCATAGATTTTATAAAGCCTCTCCTTATTTATTTATTTATATTTATTTATATTTGGATTTATATCCCGCCCTTCTCCCGTAGGACTCAGGGCGGCTGACAATCAATTAAAAACATAAATAACAGTACAAATTTAAAATTAATTAAAAGGAATATTTAAATATTTGTCAAATTTAAAATATAATTAAAACCCCTCTAAAAATTACCCTAGGCCAGTCCTGCAAGCTGGAACAGCCAAGT